GGAAAGTTTCTCAATTTTCTGATTTCGATATGATGCTGTTTAATATGCTTGCGTGTGTTTCAGGAAAAGATTTGAACCAGAAGACTGTTGATACTTATTTCAGTTTAAACTAAATTAAAGAAAACCCAAGGAACTTCATAGGTATTTTATAAAACTAGATGAACAGGTACTATCACAGTGAAAAAATGCAGTGCGACGAACAGCATATCAAAATAAGTAACTTTTGCTATTCTTGTCAACAGATGCGTTCTAGATAAAAGAACGCTGCAATAGAAAACACAGTAGGACACACCATGGAGAGCTCATGGAAACTTCTGCTTGGTGGGCTGCGCTCACAGGACACAAGCAAACTAGCAAGACATTAAGATAGAAAATAGCACCGTAATTACTGTGCTGTTATGTTAATCAGCCATGATCTGGAATACTGCTGTTGTGTTAATCAGCCATGATGTGGAATACACAGTCATTCCAGTTTTACATACAGTAAGTAGCACAGTGCCCTTCCTCTTATGGGCTGCCAGCACAATGGCAGCCTTGCACAGCGATCTAGATAGATGGGAGCGTAGGGCAATGATTAATGGGATGAAATTTAACAAGCCTAAACATCAGATTCTGCACCTAGGACGGAGTAATGCCAGGCACAAATATAAATTGGGAGAGGAGTGGCTGGAGAGCAGCCCTGCAGAAAGGGGTGTGGGAGTCCTGGTTGACAGCAGGCTCAATGGGAGTCAGCAGCATGCCCTGGCAGCCAGGAGGGCAAACCGCATCCTGGGGCCCATCCAACACAGCATCACCAGCTGGTCAAACATGGGGATTATCCCGCTGCATTCAGTGTGGGTGCGGCCTCACCTTAAGTGCTGTGTGAACTTCTGGGCCCCACCATTTAAGAAGGATGTGAAGGTCCTTGAATGTGTCCAGAGGAGGGCAATAAAGCTGGTAAAATGGCTGGAAGGAATGTCCTATGAGGAGCGTCTGAGGACTTTGGGTTTAGTTTGGAGAAAAGGGGTGACGTCATTGCTCTCTACAGCTTCCTGAGGAGGGGAAGTGGAGAAGGAGGTGCTGAGCCCTTCTCCCTGGTATCCAGGGACAGGACACGTGGGAATGGTTCAAAGCTGCAGCAGAAGAGATTTACACTGGACATTAGGAAACAATTTCTTTACCGAGAGGGCAGTCAAACACTGGCACAGGCTTCCTAGAGGGGCAGTCGATGTCCCAAGCCTGTCAGTGTTTAAGAGGCATTTGGACAAAGCCCTTAACTTTTGGTCAGCCTTGAAGAGGTCAGGCAGTTGGACTAGATGATCACTGTAGGTTCCTTCCAACTGAAATATTCTATTCTATTCTATTCTATTCTATTCTATTCT